ATAAAACTGGCTCTCTCTTTACAAAAAGTAGTTGTTTCAGTCAAGCAATGAAAACGTGAAATAGGCATGGCAAAAGCAGCAGCATTGTAATCATTATTTAATCAACATTCCAAGAAATAATTGTGATCCAAAATGTGCAGATTTTTGCAACATTTCACTTTCATTAAAAAAAGTGTTATTGCTGTTTCAGTTGTACTTCACTTACTTCATGTTCAGTGTTTAAGATCACATTTCTATAGTTCAACTTTGGCACTGACTTAACCAATATCACTTCTGGGGTTATTTCACTCACTTTATTTAGCATTCGCTTCAAAGGTCAAACATTTTTTGCCTGTCAGATTTGAACAGCCATCAGTTTTAACACCTGTTAGTTTATTTCATTTCAACTGAAGTTTTTCCATGAATAACCAAACAAACAAACGAAAACTTTATACACACTGTTCGTTTCTCTGGTAAGCAGGTAAGTACAGGGGAAAGGGTTTAAAAAAAAGGAAAAAAAATATAATATATATATTATAGGAATAATTTTACGAGGAGATAATGTTTTTGATCCTTCGAAAAGTAAAAAACTGTCCCGTTAAATAGAAACAGGATCGCAGTCTGGAATAAAAAAAAAGGCTGCAGGTCTGAAGAATGAGGGGAGGAGTTAAAGCAACCATTAAAAAAAAGTTGTTTTTAGGAGTGAAATTATTTGGATTGCAAATGTGTTGCCCGCTCCACCCCAAATTCAGACTACACAAATAAGATCATACTCTAAAATGTAAAACTTGTATTTCTTATTCTAACCGTGCTATTAAAAAAGAAAAGAAAAAAGATGGATTGAGAAGCTCCTTCATTGGAGTTTGGATCATCACAGAGTTTTTGCTCGTCCTCATAAAAGCGCTAGTTGAGATGAGGAGTGATCTGACTAGGATGCCTGAGGGCATATGTAACCCAGGACCCAGGACATGCCGGTGAGATTGGCGAGAGCTGCCGCTCAAACAGCACAAAGGAAGTATACACATCCTTCCCATTAAATTCTTAATGTCTTCGTGCACTCCGAACGTTCCTCTCTCGGCACCCTATTATATGCTTTCTTTAGATCTATAAAACCCTTGTCCATACTTGCTGTGCTCATATTGCATGAAGCCATACTGCTGATCACTGATCATCACTTCTCCTCTTAACCTAGCTTCAACCACTTTTTTCCAAATATTCATGTTATAGCTCATCAGCTTTATCCCCCTGTAGTTACTACAGCTCTGCATATCACCCTTGTTCCTGAAAATTGGCACCAGAATACTTCGTCTTCTCTCCTCAGACATCCTCTTTATCTCCAGAACTGTGCTAAACAACCTGGTCAAAAGCCCGCAGCTCTGCTTAGCTCCAGAGATATGTCATCTAGACTATGGACCATTTCATTCTCCATCTTCTTAATAGCTGCCCTCATTTCTTTACTAAACCTCTGAACTTCCTGGTTCATCAACTGTCCACCATGTCCTCCACTCTCTTGTTTTCTACATACATCAGCTGGAAGTATGCTTCCATCTTCTCAATGCACTCGCATCATATGTTTCCATTCCTATCGTTAATCCCCCTAATTTGCTCCATCTCTTTGCCTAGCTATCCAGCATCAAAGTCACTTAAAACTGTTCCCTTTGCCACCCTGCTCATTACCAGACATCTTACACCAGTACAGCCAGTACTCTTTCTAATCTTTCTGAGTGTCCCACTTCTTAATTGATTCACAGGGGGAAATAATCCACCAAAACATATACCATCATGAGACTGAACTCATTTACAAGCAGCTTCACATTTTTTTCACCTTTTCTTTCATCTTTTCTCTAAAAAGCAATTCAACAAAGAAATCTCTGAAATCTAAAATATCTAAACACCAAAGAAACTTCAATGCTTCACTGAGCTAACTAGAAACTGTGGCAAATCATGTTTTTCATTTCATTTATTTATATGTTATTTTCTCTTTCAGTTTTTGTCATAACATGGTTCTCTTTTAAATGGCCTGGGTGATACAAAACTGTAAGTAAGATACAGTGGGGCAAAAAAGTATTTAGTCAGCCACCGATTGTGCAAGTTCCCCCACCTAAAATGATGACAGAGGTCAGTAATTTGCACCAGA